CAGATAAATGAATGCATGCAGAGGGTTTTGAACCATGCATAAAAATAATATAGTTGTGCATGCAGTAGGAAGGGGCAAGCCTTTAAGTGGGTGTGTAGAAATGATTATCAACAAAAGATTACCCAGATCCTGTATATATATTATATCTATTCTTATGTTTGTATATGCAAATATGTGTATATATTCTTATGTTTAACACCTCTCTGTTGTCTCACAGGAAAAGTGAGAATATTTAAGTTCTCAGCCAGCTGTTTTCTTATTTTATGTATAACACTTTTTGGTCAAGTTTTATCCCTAAGAGTAGACAGAAGAATGTCATCTTACTTAAAATCTTAGTGTAGCTGAATGAAGACCACAGTCCCCCGCTGACACACACAAACAAAAAGGAAGTAAACTGTTTGCAGTTCTGTCACAACCATCTAAAAGCACTTGGCAGTTTTCCCACAGCTGGAAAATCACATCTATTGAAAAGGAAATAAAAGAAGGTGTCAGAAGGCAATGCACTCATGACATTATCTAAACTGCTGTGAAAGTGCTATGGCTATTAGGATTGCATTTTAGCTGCCTCTTCAAAATTAACTTCTCGCTATCTTGTCCTTAGAAGAGCTGTTTCGTCCTTTGCTTGCTGCAGGCGTATTGCTGAGCTGTCTGCTTCAAGTGACATCTCATTTTACTCTTGCTGTCGGGTCCAGCTGTAACTTTTTAATGGGGCCACAAGCAGTGTTGGAGGGGCTGTGTATGTAGTTCTACTGTATTACTTTCCTCAGAGGGAGAAAAAAAACAACAAAAAAGCAACACTGATTTTGAGTAAGGAACTGAGTGTAGGAAAAATTCTATGCTTATTTTGTGCACGATAGTGTTCGTTTGTACAGAGTGGATCTGTACTATGCTAAAAGAACCATAGGCAATGAGACTCCACTGTCATTCTCTTAAACAGAATTGATAGGGACAACATGGTTTCATGCAAAACACAGTCCCTAGGTATTAGGGCAATGGAGAATACTAGCAACCAATTCCTTTCTATTTTGCATAGGCATGAAATTAGGTGCTATTGTTTCTTGTTGGCTATCAGTTCAGGAATTAAAAGAAATCTACCTTTTATTCTTTTGTCCTGATGCTAAACCTATTCTGATGCTTTGAGCGACTTCTACATTGTTTCTGCAGAGAGTCTAGCTTCAGAAAACCACTGAAGATTGTTTCAGTTTGGTCATGGGATTTGTGTGTTTCATTGATGGTATTTTTTCAATTAATATTATGTTTCTGGTGTCCAGTTTTCAACATTTGCAATAAGCAAAACCCAGTAAGTTCTGTATTTGTGGAAAAAATATTTCCCATTTCTACAGTAACCAGTGCTTTTCAGCTAACTGAATATTTACTGGTAGAGATACAAAATCCACTCATCTTCCCATGGCTGTGATGGTGAAAAATAAGTGAATGCTGTGGAAAGGAACTGAGATATGTTTGGCTGCAGTGAAATGAGCAGCTAAACTATGGCAGAGATTCTTGAAATGACCTTGGTTTATTTCACTTTAATGGTTGTTTCCTTCTCTTTACACATCTTTCAGTGATAGTTATTGGTAGAAAGCTTCCACTTACCTCATGTAGATATATTAATTTGTTTGCAAAGCTCTTGAGAGACAAATTGCATTATTTCTGCCGTGTATTTGGCTTACAAAAACCAGAAAGCAACCTCCAGTTTATTTTAGATCATGCCAAAAGTGATTTAGCCAAGATGGCAAAGAACAGCTACAGAAGAACCCACTTTACCTGAAGTTTAGCTGTTATATCAAATTCCCTTTATTCTGATGGTGAATAGTAGACACCTGAAAGAAGTATTTTATTTATTTTAAAACAGAAAGTCTTAAAATTGCACAAATGTGAACTGAAGAAAGAAATTGATTCTATCTGCCTCACTTGGGAGGGAGAAATTGGTCTGGCGATTCATTGCAGAGGAGTGAGTTACTTTGCTGACTGTCAGTGGTAGGTAACAATGTAATTCAGTAAGTGAAGGCCAGGTTTGAATAGATAGAAAATTAATCTTCAGCCAGTATCTCCAGTGGGATTTTCCTGTGACAGTATTGATTGCATTTCAGCTTCTGACTTTAGAGAAATATCGGTTGGAGTTGCATTTTAATTGTATTCACATGCTGGATTACTTTGATTGAAAATATGTGTTTTGCTACTTTCCAGAAAAGGAAGTTTAACTTGGTATTAAAACTGCACCAACCAATGCCACAACCTATCAGGCTTTTGATGAAAATTCCAGACTAAAATAAATAATAACATTGAGGTGTTCCTTTTTAATATATATATTCATTTTTTAACTTGGATGTAACTTGAAATTCATGAATTTGACAAATGAAAAGTGAATAGTTTTCACCTTATATAGAAGGATCCACCATGAACATTGCAAGTTTATGGCCTGGCACAGACTTAGTCTTGCTGGTCAGTATGTAGTGGACCAAGTGAGTGCAACACTACTCTGCCTGTAATCCTGATACTTTCTTGTTGTGTGCAGAACTAGCTCAGGTATCTTATGTGAAGGAAACTGTAGAACTATGAAAAAATGTTGTCATTTGAGGTTTCTCTGGGGTTCTGGGGGCAGATAACTACATTATTTCAATATCTACTTTGAATGTCACAAAATACTCCCAGGAAAAGTTGAAAATTGGGATGCAAAAGCTTCTGCATTACTCTATGCAATTTGTGTAGATCCACCGCCCTGCATGGCTGGAGACTGAGAAGAGATATTCATGGTTTTGTTTTGATATTATGGAGTATTGGTGGGAAGAATAACAGACAGATATCATATGGTATGGAATATCCCTTTAGGTCATTTTGGGTCAGCTGTCCTGGCTGTGTCCCCTCCCGAACTCTTGCCCACCTTCAGCCTAGTGGTGAGAATGTCGGAGAGATATTGATATTGTGAAGCATGCTGCTCAGCAGTAGCCAAAACATTGGTGTGCTATCAACACCTTTATAGCTACCAACACTATATGCAGGCTGCTTTGGGGAAAATTATCTCCATCACAGCCAGACCCTGGCATGTTTTTCCTTTCTGGTAGTTTTAAGAGGGTGGGATACTGGATCAAAACATTTCAGGCTGTGTTGTACAAGTATTTGTTGCTTTTCTAATCCACATCCAAACACCAAACATTATTCTCTTAGAAGTATCTAAATGCAAAAGTATGATATTCACAAGTCCTCTTCCATAACAGAGGTCATCATGTCCATTAGAACTATTAATGAATATAATACCACACACATGAAAGTAAAAGGCAGCATGTAGTCTTAGGTGTTCCAAGAAAAATAATGATTTTTAGGTAATTTGCACATTTTAGCAATTTAGATTATTTCATACCATTATATACCTGGATTTTACCTGGTAATAGATTTGCTTTTGTAAAAAATCATCCTTTACTTTCAGTATTAAGGGTTATGCTTCCCCCTCTGTCTCATCCACCACCGTGGGCTTAAGTGCTAAGTAACACATTTAACTTCTTAGCATAAGATATAGTAGTTTTGCTGCATAAGAATAGTCAGAATTATTGTCCACCTTCTATTCTTCCAGAGATTCATCTCACCTAATTCTACACTATAGTTGCAGTCTTCTACATCTATACAACTTCCCCTAGGGCTAGCTTTATAGTCAATGGAAAGTAGGAGGCACTTCTAAGATATGACTCATGTCTAATTAAGACAAGATGAACTGCACTCTAAAATGCCCCTTTTTCTTCATTGACTATGAAGGCAGCCTGGGGTGATGAGCTCAACATTGCTATGTTGTTGAAATGAGTGGATGTCACTGGTTAGATGAGTTCTGCCCTTTGTGGTTCCAAAGGAAACCACCTCATTGAAACCCATCTTAGACTGCTGCTTACTTTAGGCAACATTTGATCCTATACCTAATATAGTATTTGGCTGTAAGTCTGTGATGAAACAAATGGTAATGTATAAGGAATAGCCTCAGCACACACATGCCTGACTGACCAGACAGGTGCTTCTTTGTCAGCACTACTTTTTTAGCAGAGCACATTTTCAATAACCAATGACTCTGTAGTATTAAAAATATCCTTATAGTTGCATGCAGTTGCTGATCTGCCTAATCATTTGGTATCACAGTAGATTCACTGTTGATTTAAGTGTTTGTCTCTACTCATGCAATGGGAACTCATGCATGTTCCAGCTGCTTCTGAACCAGGTAAAGACATTACCATCTCCCCTTTGTTTGGTCTTCATGACCTCCTTGGTTTCCATGCAAGTTTTGTAGCTGAGTTAGAAAAGCCTCTACTTTTAAAAGCAGAGGTTTTTTACTAGTTAAAAACTAATCCAAATGACTGAGTGAACTGGAAGGCATCAAGAAGCTGGAGTGCAGATAGGTGAGCGAGGATGGGAACCCAAGGCAGGCAGGTGGAGGTGAGCACCTGAGTGTTTGGGAACCTTTCTACCTAGGCAGCTGGGCAGGAGAGTAGATGAGATTCCATCGAGACTTATTATTAAAACTAGTGAACAAAACCTGTTTCAGTCAGAAGTTCTAAGAAGCCTTAGTGGATGTGCACCACTGTTTCTCAAAAATACATTTTTGAAATATATATTGATGGTATCATTTTAAAAGTTGCAATTTATTATCTGCAGGAGGAAAGATACACAGGATTTATATTTAAGATTTGGTACAAATTATTACACATGATAGAAAATAATGTATTTATCTTGCATTATTGGTGTAAAAATTCCATGCACTCATGTTGCTTAAGGTGTTAGGCTGATATTTTTCTTTTGCAGCTCTTAATTTCACTGAGTTGCATTGAGTAACTCATACTTTAAAGTATACAGAAATATTTCTGGACATGGAGCAAGTAAGTGTGTTTATACACAAATTCAAAATGTTAGCTGCAAAAGAAAGGCCTCGAGCCTTTTATATAAAAAGAAACAAATGTGAATGGAATTGTTTTTAGCATACTTAGTAATATTTTGCCCTGTACATGTCTTTCTTTAAAAAGCCTGAAAAGAATGACACTGAATCTGGCAGCCAGAGAATCAGACCAGTATTTGAAGAAGATCCTGTTTTCCGACGACAGACATCTTACCAACATGCAGCAGTCCACATACCAACAGATATTTATGAAGGCTGTAAGTAGCATGTGAACAAAGTGATTTTATTTTAATACTAAGCTTATTATTCAGTAGTACTTCAGAGATGTGGTCTTCTAGGCATATGACTGGTCTTATGAATAAGCAGGGAGCTGTAGTTGAAGCTACAATCCGTTGAAGTTGAAGCTGCAATCCGTTAGGATTGGATCTGAGATTCAGAAATTGAACTGAAGGTTAAAACTCTTACATGTTATGATTTTTTAATCCATTCTTTCTCTATGCTGTGTTCTCATTTAGTACAAACAGTTCTTGACAGCTCTTCTTTACATGGTTTTGGCTTTAGGCACAGATGAGTACCGAAAACATTTTTGAGTGTCCCAAAAGCATATGCAGTTTAGGCAAGTAACATGCCCTGCGAGATGGTAGTACTTATATTGCATGCAGTACATTTCTAGAATTTCAGTGATGTATTTTAGCAGAGAATTTAAATAAATACTTTTAAAACTATGTCAAAAATTTATATATATGCATTTACTGCTGAGGATTCTTTAATTGTGTTTCAAAACTAAGTATTTACGTTACCTCTCAGGGTGAGAATAACTTCCTTTTTCTGTACCTATCATCAAGAAAAAATCATTACCCAGTGATAACACTTTTCATCATTCCACATGGCTGTGTTTTTTTTAAATGGGGGAAGAAAAATAGGATCTGTATTTTGAAGTGGGGAGGGGGTATTATTTATTTATTTATGGTCCTAATTTCAAATCTGCAGCTCTTCTCCTCTTTCTAAATCTCATCAAGTGGAAAGAGACCCTAATATGACCCGAGCTCTTTAAAATTCATGACCACAGTTGTCTGCAGCTTATACAAATGACGCAGGGATGAAAATGGAAATGTCGGTATGGTGGGGGAAGGAATCATAGTAGCTCATATTCTTATGTGGTGTGTTTGACTGACAGTCCTGGAGGATTATTCTGGGATTCTGGATTTAATAAGTGGTAAAGTGCACCTTAATTGCAGGATTATAGGGAATAGACAGGCCATTTCCTTTGCTTTTGTTTGAAGAGAATTGATACTTCACTCTTAAAATGTTATAAAAACTTGCATCAAATTATTAGCATATTTTTAAACACCATGTGAAGTTTGATATGTTTGTCGTTATAACGGTATCTAAAATGTTTGAAGTTATGTTGAATTTATACCATTTTAGATGGTATTTCTGTGTCTCTTAAAAATACATGCTAGGTAATGTTACTTTACAAACAACATAAACATTAAGAGAAGCTATGACGTCCATAGGAAAGGTGCAACTTTAGTATCTAATAAAAATAGCAGAAATGTAAATCTTTTTGGGAGAGGCAACTGTATGTGCAACATACATGGTTCATAAGAAACTCGTGATTCTTTGTGTATGGCTATATCATATTATTTACTAGACACATGGAAGCCTGCAAAATTACCAGGAAGACTAATTCTGCATCAGCAAAATCATCTTGTTGGGGGGGCTGGGTAACTTTTACAGATGGTGTTTTCAGAGATAACAGCTTGAGAATGTTTAAAAATCACAGATTTCATAGCAGTAAACATAAAATTGTCACTAGGTTTTATTTTACACTAACAAAGTTCATGTGTCATCTGAAACACAGCGAGCAATTAGAGTTTAATTTTATTTTCACAAGTAATATTATCTGCAAGCAATTTTTATAACTCTAGAAAAGCAGATAAAGTAACTTGAACCCTTTGCCATTTTATTTCCTGTTCACATGAGCTAAGTTGTCACATCTTGACAGTGGCCACTATAGTAAGGAACAGTTTTACACTATGAAAATAGTTTGCAATAAATCTGCAATTCCTTGTCTACATCAAAGTCTGCTAGGGAACATTTACAAAACAGATATTACAACAAATCCTTCTGAGAAACAGTGGATGAGATACAGTTTACAACTTCTAGTCCTTGGAAGCCTTTTTTTTTTTTTTTTTTTTACTGAATTACATCTTGGAAAGATTTTCCCTTCTTATTGTATAATTTTTTAGAATGCCAAAAGAAACAAAGAATTGCTTTTTGGATCTCACAGAACAGGTTTCTTTGAAGATATTTGACTTGTCAATGCTTCCTTGAGATTGGTTTTCACTTGCCTCTTGCAGTAGCAGGTTGCTGTCTCTAGGGGAGAGGGACAATTACAGTCAGCACCACATGCATTCCTAAATCTGATTATTTCACTTGGATCTGTTGATCACATTCTGTTGTGTTTGGTTTTTGTTTTGTTTTGGTTTATATTTTTTTTCTGTATGAAGCTGGGAATTTGAGAATCAGTGACTCTTAACCAATATATTATCCATGACAGTCTTTCTTCCCTATTCAGGTTTCATTTTTATTGCAGTTATTATTTCAGTTTTTTAAAATCTGAATCAAATATCAGATTTCTGTCTCATGAAATTATGAATGTGTGGATCCACCCTCTATTTAGCCCTTTGAAAGTGGTTTAGCCAGTAATTCTCTAATGATGCCTTACCTATTTCAACCTAATAAACTCTATGTGCTATGAAGCAATGTTCTTTGGCTTCCCACATACAAAGTGATTTGCTTATTTTGAAATACAGTGATAAGCTTCTTGTGGAGTAGAACCTTTTACTTCACCATAGAAATACATGATTCATCATTACAAAATATCCATTCACTATATCCAGGTTATTACTTTGTGGCTTACTAGACTGCAGAAAGAAATATTATGAAAGTTATTTTTGCTTTTCCCTGTATCTGGTACCAAAACCCAGTAGAGACAGGGGAAAGTCTAGGGAGTTAATTCATTTGCCTGTTTCTGAGGATTGCAGGCCCACCACAGGAGAGGGCATTCCCATTAAAATAGACCCAAATCAGGCTTTTAATTCAGTGTTTTCTGAGTCCCATTTAGATTTTGAAATAGAATCAGTCTGCTGATGGAAACAGAACAAACCCTCAGGTCATCCTTCTACCACATGCACTGGGAATTAGTAATGAATCTCCTATTAGTAATAACAGAAGACTTATTTCTAAATTCCTGTTAAAACTGTACCCTGCTTGTCCCTAAGCAGAAGATGGGAACTGCACAAGGCAAGTGAGGTTAACTGCGTAGTGGATACCACCACACATTGCCCTTCCTGTCTGAGATGCATAAAGCACCATCTGCTGCGATGCTTGTTCTAGGTCTAAGTCTGTGCTGGTGTTGCAGTTTTAGGAAAGGTGTTAGGCAAAGTGCACAGCCAGGGATTGGTTTTTATGCATGTGGTTGCTTCTGATTTACTTCCTCTAAATCAGAAATTGAAATATTGCTTCCATTTGTTACTACTTGGTCAGTGTTGAAGAGCTGATTAAAGTGTTGTGTTGACAGTAATGTGTCATGAATATGACGACATCACTTTGAATATATTTGGGCAGCTACCAGCAAGAAAAAAAGGCTTCTCCTGCTCAGAACCCAATAAACCAATCATAAATAGAGTTACGATTAGTTGATGGTTCATATAGCTTAATAATCAGAAAGTATACATATTGTTTGTTCATACTTTCCTTTCATTGCGATTGCAGTCAAAATGTTGATGCTCCTTAAAAATAGTATAAGATTTATTTCTTGATATTAAGTTTGGTAGTAGACATCAATTTTACCTTTGTAGTAGAGCATTATATATGTAAATTTTCAGTTATTGATAAAGTATTTTGGCATGATAGTGCTACTGCTGGCAACCAAAACTTTTAGGAATAACTTGTAAAAATTCTGTTTTGATGCTGCAGTGACTGGGATATTATCTCCTTGAAATTTTTGTATTATTGAACTATTTCTTCATACCTTGGGTATTTGGGGCTATAAGCTTGAAAAGCAGAAATATTCTTTGGAAAGAAAGTTAGAAATGCTAGGAAATGAAACCATGGGAAGAATATTCCATCTCCAACCCCCTCCCCAGTAAAAACCAGCTGCAAAAAATGCATTGCCATTTATTCTATATATGTCGTTTATTATGTGTGGATAATAAATAAAATTTATTCAGGAATCAACATATTGATATAGTGTTGTTCAATCCAAATGGATATTTTAGTGTGCTACATCACCAGTCCTTAAAAGACTGAAGGACCACTAAATTTTTGTTGTGCTTTTTTGTACACAGTTTAAATAAGAGCAACAGCCAAACAAGGCAGTTTTATTAATTAAATTGCTTGCTTCAAAATACTTTAATGTTATTGCTATATTTTGCAATATATATTAAATTATATATATTTTTATATATTTATATATATTTCAGTTGAGAAACTGAAACTATTCAGAACTATTTTTCTCATGGTTTCTTCTAAGGAATAAATAGTGGAGTTTTACTACAGCTAAGATTGAAAAATGATTGTTTCAATTCTGGTGTGTGTGTGTTCATAAATTTCAATTTGGAAAGTTGGATTATATCATTATATACATATTATGCAGATAGCATGTAAGATACCTTTTTCTTCTAATTGCATTTTAAACTATTTACCACAATTTTAATCAGAGAGTTATTTGTGAAAACATGTAATGAGTGAAGTGAACCTTTAAGTCAGTTTTCATTATCAGCCTGTTTTAAATACCAAACTATGACTTGGGGTAAGAATAAAGCAAATGTTAGTTGCAGCTAGGTCCCTAAGAACTGCCTGCTTGGTTCAGTGTTGAACCTGGAAGGAAAATACTGATGCAGAAACTTAAGTGAATAACTATAGGATCAGTATCAGTTTTTATGTTCTGACAGTTATGATTCTCCTCCCCTTCCCCCCACTAAGTAGCTTACTAAAGCTCTCTGAATGAAAATCTTTTCAAATAAGCAACAAAAAGAAACACCTTTTCTAACCTGGTGAAAAAACTTATTTCTGTCAGAGTTCAGAATGCCAAACAACTTGAGCAGTATCCTCCATCATGAGAAGTTACTTGCATTTTGGTACTGTGGTTATGTTAGTTTTATTGGATGAATGTACTAACATATTCACCCAAAATCAAGTTTACCATGACTTTTATCTTAAATTATCAAAATTTAAGATACTAAGTTAG